TCCTGCACCTTTCTTTGAAATGAGCATGACAGGCCACAGCTACAGCATCTATAATGCCGTATCTGCTGTGGCGCACAGCTTGCAGGCAGCTCTCGCACCTCCACCCACCCACCGAGGAATGGAGAGTTATGCCAGAAAAGTAGAAAAAGTGGAACCTTGGCAGGTAAACTTCCTCCTCTTAATTTTCTTTTTAATGGCCTGCACGGTTAGAATAGAACTGAGGGGCCTTCCCATTACCCACCACTGCTGCACTCCCCAAAGTTAATTGGTACCTATCTCAATCGAGCCTTACAAATCGCAGGCATTTGATCATATTAGTCCTGGGAGAGCAGATTCTATTTCAGTTTCCCTAGGCGGCATGGAAAAGTCCAACAGAGACATCCACATGGATTGGTCTAAACCCTCATAGAAATTTCATCATGGTTAGGAAGTCAAGCACAGGTTCTGACCACAGGGAAAGTTCTAAGGATGCGCATCAAAAGCAGAACACTTCGAATGTAGAAACATGCTCACCTTTAACTAATCACTTTGTGTAGGACAACCCATGCTTGTTGAAAACAAAAATAAAAGTCATTCCATTCTTTAACCTTGGTTTCTTATTTTTTCACACATCATTTTTATTCAGAATGTTAAACAGAATATAAAACCTAACAAGAACTAATGTAAAGTAAAGAAAGAAAAGAAAACAGAAAAAAAAGAAAAAGCCAAAACTGCAAAAAGAAAGAATGAAACACAATAGAAAGAAGCTTCCAATTTTCTTTATAGCAATTATAAGTAGAAATACAATTACCTCTTACTCTATGATTACAAAAAAAACCTCTCTCTTTTTTATTATCTATTTTTTCTAATCATCAAAGCCTTAAGTCATAAATTTGTTTTTTTCTGTTTCATGCAAAAGATTTATAAGTTGTTTCCAGTCAGCAGTAAATGTAAAGATTGTCTTTTGTCTAATCAAGGAGAAGTCAATTTAGCTGTCTCTGCAAGTTCCATCATCTTCACCAGCCACTGCTCCTATGTGAGTAGTGCCAAACCTTTCCACTTTTGTGCATATAATAATCTCGCTGCAGTTATCATATATAGAAACAAAGTCCCATGACTTTTTTCCAGCTACTTGTCCATCAATCCCAAAAGAAAAGCCTCTGGTTTCAGTTGTATATTACTCTTTAATGTCTCCTGAATTTATGTTTGTATTTGTATCCAAAACTTGCTAGCTTTTTTACATGTTCACCAAGAACGATAAAATGTCCCTTCATGCTGTTGACATTTACAAGAATACAGGATAAATATTTCAAGCATTTCTCTTACTCTTCTCTTCTTGAAGATCCACTCATTTCTGCAGAGAATTTCTTTCAACAACAGTGCTGGAGATGAAATTACTTTCAACAATCAGGGAAAACTAGAGGCTGGATTTGACATTGTGAACTTGGTCACTTTCCCAAACAACTCCTATATCAGGGTCCACGTTGGAGAAGTGCACCCACATACTTCTCCAGGAAAAACCTTCATAATTCATGAGGACAGAATCCAGTGGCAACCAGAATTTACTCAGGTAGATTTATTGATTGATTGATAAATCAAATTTATACACTGCTCATCTCACTATCAGTGACTCTAGGCAGCTCACAAGGAAAAAACATAAAAACATTTAAAAACTACAAAGCACATTCATCATTACATTCATTACATGACAAAAATCATGCACAAACTTTGGAATGGCTAGATGTTCTGCCACAGGTCCCCAAGTATTGTTTGAACAAGGTGTTTGAGATCTTACCCAGGAACTATAAAAGATCAGCAGAGGCAGAAAGTTCCAATCTTATAAAGCATTCACAGCTGAGTGGTAAAGAGCTCTCTACCCCTAATTCCATATACAAAATTAAGTGGCCCAAGAGTTAAGGTTTCCTTTCAAACTAGTAAAAGGAGAGTCTCCTCACTTTCCCTAAAGCTAGCAGATTACAAGGGGGAACCCAACACAAGGGATTAGCACTACTCTTCCTCATGGTAGGGCTATCTCTGGCCATCCATGGTGCATAATGTTGGCATTGTGTCATTAGGATCTCTGTTTAGGGACAATTGATTTATTGTATGTATTTATGTATGTATATGTATATTACTGACCTCTCTTTTTTGATAGTTGCCACCTGTTTCCTTGTGCACTGATCCTTGTCCTCTGGGATACAGAAAGACAAAGAAGGAAGGGGAGAAATTTTGCTGCTATGATTGCGCTCTATGTCCAGAAAGGATGATATCAAACCAAATGGGTAAAATGTATAACATCATGTATTTATTTATTTGTTTGTTTGTTTGTTTGTTTGTTTGTTAAAGCAATTTATATGGCTGCCCAACTCACGGTGACTCCAGATGGCTTAAAACCCCAAATACAAACCCACTACACCCCCATCCCCTGGCAACAACAATACATTTACACTATCCATTTAATGGGCTCCATATTGACCTGGGATCCCCAGGCCCGCTGGCCAGACCATGTCTTCACAGCCTTTCAGAAGAGTATCAAGGTCGGGGCCAGTCTTATCTCCATGGGGATGATGTTCCACAGGGAGGGAGCCACCATGGAAAAGTCCCTCCTTCTTGGTCCCACCAGATGAACCTCCTCAACAGGGGGAACCCATAATACAACCTGCCTCCCTGATCTGGTAAGTCCGGCAGATGAAATTGGGAAAAGGTGGTCCTTCAGATAACCTGGCCCCAAGCCATGTAGGGCTTTAAAGGTGACAACCAGCACCTTGATTTGGACCCAGAAGCAAATCAGCAAACAAAGAGAAAATTGCCACAAGAGAAGTGACACATGTGCAAATCTAGACTAAAGCCATGTGGGCCACCACATTTTGAACCAACTGAAGCTTCCGGATACTTTTCAAGGGCAGCCCCATGTACAGCGGATTACAATACTCAAGATGGGAGGTGACTAGAGCATGGGTGACTGTGAACAGGGCCTGTTGGTCCAGGATAGGGTGTACCTGGCACGCAACGCACAGACGACTGCACCTACTCCTTGAGAACCCCCAGATTACACACTGGGTCCATCTAGAGCACTGCAACCCCTTCCAAGACAAAAGATAGCAATTCTCCATGAACCAAAGAACCCCAAACCAAAAGCCATTAAGTCTTGCCAGGGTTCAGTTTCAACCTGCTGCACCCCATCCAGACCTTAACAGCCTCCAGGCACTGTGAGAGGGAAGTCATGACATCACTTAACTCACCAGGGCTGAGATAGACAGCTGAGTATCATCAGCATACTGATGATATCTCTCCCCATGGTGAGAGACAATCACACCCAGCCGCTTCATGTAGATATTCCTCTCACTCCCTATGAACACTTACTGGGAACAGCCACTGAGAAGGAAGTGAACAAGGACAACACAGTGCCCCTCCCCCATTAAAACATCTCATTAAACATTAAAGCATATTTCAAATGTTTTGGAGCATAGCTTTGTCTTAAAGAAGGAAACATGCCTGTATCATCCATGACTCTAGGTCCAAATTAGAATCTTACTCTACTTGGTGATGGGACACAATAACTAAAGACTACAGCTGTCTCATAGGATGAAGATCAAACTAAGAACTACACAATTATTTTCAACTTTGTGGTCCACTTTTTACCCTCCATGGACTAAAAGCTTCTGCTCTGTTTCCACACTTCACTCTGGTTTCTTTTAACACAACTTTGGGCAGTTTCTTGTATGCACTATGTGGTTACAACTACAGTAAGGCTAAATGAAGTGGATCTTATTCTGATTCTTTTCCAAGAGTCTCTGTTCTCCCTTTCTGCTCTTGAAACATGCAACCATCGTACATCCACTTGAACTTTTTCTGAATACAAGCCATGATCAAATCATTCCTAAGATGGAATATTTGATCACTCACTGTCATTCAGTTTGACATGTTTGGGGTATTAGAGTTTAAGAGTTTCTGTGATGAAATTATTAGCGTGGGAGGACTCCTGAGAAGGCAGCCCTAAAAATAGTACAATTCATTTCCTTTTTTCAGACATGGAGAATTGTGTGGTTTGTCCAA